TGATCATTTCTATGTCGATGCTTCTCAACGGTCTCGTTTTGAACACGTTTTGAATTTCAACTAAATTCTCGCATTCATGAACCCCACGTCTAATTGTTTCTAACATGTTGGGTAAGTTTAGTAGTACTCTTTTCAATGAAGTACAATAATGGGCTTGCAAAATCACTACACTTGGTGGGAGCTCGGGAATCATTTCGAGGTTTGTGCAAAAATCCAACAAAAGAATCTGGAGCTTCCTAAGACCATTCATGTTTCCTGATAGGCTCAAAAATGGGTTTCCACTTAGATTCAAATCCTCCAATGAGGATAGGCTACTAAGATCATTGGGAATTTCTGACAGATTGCAGTACGCCATATTTAACCTTTTTAAACATTGTGGCAAACTCGCACTGGTAAGTTGGAGATTTTTTCTTGGCAATACCCATGATCGGATTGATTGCCACGATTTAACTGCAAATAACTGACTGAGTTTCTTCATGTCACTAGGTGTAGACTCCACAAGATTTGAGCAACCAGAGAGAATAAGTTCCTGGAGTGATCGCAGCATACTAATTTTTATTGGAAGCTTCATGAGATTTTTGCAACCTTTTAGATTCAAGAAAACAAGTTTCTCCAAATCTCCAATGGATTCATCCACCTCTTTCAAATTTATGCAATCTTTAAGAATTAATCTCTCGAGGTTAGGGGATCCAGACAAGTCAGGGGTTGTCACAAGGCCATGTGAATGACTGAGATTTAAGATTTTCAGTCTTGGAAGAAACTGTTTTAAAAAAGAAGTAATTAGTTTCTATAAATATATAATCATCTTTAAATTTGTCTCTGTGTGTGTGTGTGTGTGAGAGAGAGAGAGAGAGAGAGAGAGCTAGAGAGAGATTAGTAGCATACCCTAGTTCCCTTCCAAACATGTTGGAGGCTGCTGTTCCGCAATTCCAGAGCAACTAGATTTTCCAAGTAAAAATTGGTTGGTATTGACTTTAAAGAGAATCTTCGCCAAGACAACCATATTAAATTTTTTGGGAAATCTTCATAGCCTCCACTGATTTTTACATTATCAAGCAGCAGGAGTTCAAGATTGTGCATCCTTCTAAATCCCTCGGTTTTGAAACCTGTCTCATTTGATACAGGAAATGAGTTTGTTGAAGAAAAACTAATTGACTGCCAGGAGAAGAAACCAAGCCGACGTCGGCTGCTTGAACAGTTTCCATCATAATCTTCAACATGGAATCTTTTTCTGTTACTTCCACTGGATATTATCTTAGAAGACTCATCTTTTATTAACATAGGAATGTTGAGCATGAGGCCCTTAATAGTTTCTGTACCCTGGTAACAAATAAGAACATTGGGTAAGTAACTTGTCACATGCACAACACAATTACGAATACATAGACATAAAAGAAGATATTTCTTACAGTTAATTTTCTCAAAACATTAGAGGCATCTTTATTCCACACTCTAGTACGTTTTCCAGGATCCTCACGTGATTCTTCACGAATAATTCCCCTTCCCATGACTTGAAGTAATTGGTGCATGCTTAACTTGTTGGATTGGTGCATGGTTAACTTGTTGGATCCATCAATTATCAGCAGACATCTATCAACCAGATTTTGAATTCCAATGTTTGTGGCAAACTCACATTCATCAAGGACTGTAGTTGAAAAATCCTTGTCTTTTCCTATGAAGAAACAGGCTATATGGAGGAACAGACGTTTGTCATGATCTTGCAGGGAATCCAAGCTTATTCTGAGAATCTTTTGAATTTTTCCTTCAGTAATCACATCCAAGTTCTGTAATGCATTTTTCCATACATCTGCAGGTTTTCCAAAGAGAGAAGATCCTAGAACTTGAAGAGCTAATGGAACCCCTCCACAGTGTTGCACAACAGGTCTTGAAAGATCCATGTAACCTTCGCCAGGATGGGGTTGTCCAAAGGCATGCCAACTGAAAAGCTCAAGTTATTCATACTCATGCAACCCTTCCACCTTAAATATTGCACAATTCTCATGAGCCTTTAACAAATGTTCATGTCTAGTTGTTATGATTATTTTACTTCCTGGATGAAGCCATTCTCGCATTCCAAGAATTGCATTGAATTGTTCCAAGTTGTCCACATCATCAAAAGCAATAAGAACTCTTTTGCAACATATCGCCCGTTTGATCTCTGTCATTCCTCCATCCAAGCTGTATATTTCCTTTGCTTTCCCCTTTTGGAGATCTGAAAGAAGGTTCCTTTGCAAGTAAACCAAACCATGACGTTCTGAAGTTTCTCTAATATCTGCAAGAAAGCTGCTACCTTGAAATTTATTGAAATTCTGGTTATAAGCAGTCTTGGCAATGGTGGTCTTGCCAATTCCACCCATCCCACAGACTACAGCTACTCCAACATCAGTTGATCCATCTTCTAACCACATGTTTAGGCCTTTCACACGATAATCTATTCCAACTAGATAGGGATTGACTCTTAATCTCCTATTCAATGTGTGATTTCCAATATCTTCAACTATTTCTTGGATAAACTGCGACTCGTACCTATAAATTATTGATAGCAAAATACACAAGGCAAAATAAGTTATTTCTTTTCAACAAAAATTATTTTTATTTTTATTTTATAGAAGAGAATTGATATTTATATCATAGGTTGAAATGAATGATATTAAGTAAATCAACTTTCAAAACAGAAGTGCTGCCATCAAACAACTCCATGAGATTAAAGAACAAAGCATCATTTTGGGAATGAAAAAGTACCGATCTTTTAAATCCATCCCTCCCAAATCTGCAACATCTCTGAGAGCTTTTCTCCACTTCTCCACCTTGTCCATCTCCTTGTTGAAGCGCTGTTGGTGTCTGGCAAATGCTGAATGCTTCTTCAAAAGTTCCTGTCTGGTTCCTGACATGGGATGGATCCACATCATAGAAAATCGGCATAACCATGTGCTCATTAGTTTCTCTACGATCCATGATCGTCACTAGTTCATCCAGGCACCATCTCGAGGAAGCGTAGTCCTTGGAGAAGACAATGATGGATACTCGAGACTCTTGTATTGCTTTTTGAAGCTCTGCTGAAATATTTGCTCCTCTCTCGATTTCGTCATCATCTCTAAAAGTGTGGATCCCTGCCACCTCCAAAGCCCTGTAGAGGTGATCAGTAAATCCCTTGCGTGTATCTGTGCCCCTGAAGCTCAAGAATGCATCATAAGTGCACCGGTGAGAGGACGGAGAAGCATCCTGCTGCTTGCTGGTAGCAGCCATTTGTATGTTCAGCTTGTGTTTTTTAAACAGAGTCTTTGAAGGAGGAGCCCCACAACCAAAGTTATGAATTTTAGAAGTTTTCAACAACTTTTAGAATTGAAGTTGCAGAGCAAGTTCGACGAAGAAGAAAGACTCAGCGTGTTTGGGGTTATAATCCAGCACTTCTCATTTTAATTCCTTTTTGAAATGATCCATTAGCAAGGCGCCACATGTCTATTTTTAATTGGACTAACTTCATAAATTCAATAAAAAGTCATATATGCTCTGAAAAATTCATCGAAAATTACCCCAAACTTGTAATCACGTGTATTTTTATCTCATGACCTCCAAATCACATGTAATTTTATTTGTTTTAATTATGAATGACATTAATATTACTTAAATTTCAAGGGTATTTAGTTGTCTAAATTTGTTTTTCAAGTCTTTAGCCTTTTAAAATTGTCCCTCTACTAAAAAATTCATGAAAATTATGAAGATGAAATTAATCTACAAAAACATTAGGAAAATTAATCTTTTATCTCGTGACCTCCAAATCACATGTACTTTTATTTGTTTTAATTATGAATGACATTAATATTATTTAAATTTCAAGGGTATTTAGTAGTCTAAATTTTTTTTTCAAGTCTTTAGCCTTTTAAAATTGTCCCTCTACTAAAAAATTCATGAAAATTATGAAGATGAAATTAATCTACAAAAACATTAGGAAAATTAATCTTTTATCTCGTGACCTCCAAATCACATGTACTTTTATTTGTTTTAATTATGAATGACATTAATATTATTTAAATTTCAAGGGTATTTAGTAGTCTAAATTTTTTTTTCAAGTCTTTAGCCTTTTAAAATTGTCCCTCTACTAAAAAATTCATGAAAATTATGAAGATGAAATTAATCTACAAAAACATTAGGAAAATTAATCTTTTATCTCGTGACCTCCAAATCACATGTACTTTTATTTGTTTTAATTATGAATGACATTAATATTATTTAAATTTCAAGGGTATTTAGTAGTCTAAATTTTTTTTTCAAGGATTTCTTTGTGACCTTTTGCTGAACGGATTTTTTTGTTGTTGAATCAAATAGAAAATTGTATACAATGAATCTGAATTGTGAAGCATAATAAGCCAGAATTTTTCCATTCACATCAAGATAAAAGTTTTCTCTGTCTACAGATTACTACACTTTAAACTTCATTATGGTTTTTAATTCCCTTTTATATTTAATTTGCATTTTAGGTATTAATAGGGAGTTTTAATTACAATTATGGCAGTTAATGAAATGCTTGGAATACATT